ATTTGTCTTCTTCTTAGCACCGTAAACAATCTTAAAACGTCGCCTCGAACTTGCGCAAACAATGCCCGGATTTTTCTGTCCAATCGAAAACGTAGTAACCTCTTCGAAAAGGTTAAGATTCACAACTATACTCTCCTCCGCCGCCATTATTACGAGACCGACCGCATTCCGAATGCTAGCCACAGACAGCTGAGAAAACGCAATATTCCGCCGACTACAATAACTCGTGAGAAATTCAGGAAGAGGAAACCAGAGCCCGCACTTAGTGAAGTAAGGTTCGTAAACACATATGTATCCATCAGGACAATCAGAAGGACGTTCGTGCGCTTCGGGCACAAGAAACTCTACGCCGGCAGGCAGCTGACATTGTGTAAACATTTTCTTCAACGATTTCAAAGTGCTCACCGACTTCCCATGACCGTGCGAGAAACAAGTCTCGTTAGAACTCTTTTCAATCACTGCTTCGGCTTTCCTACAACGATTCTTACGAGGATTAGTAGTCGCGCTCGGAGCCCTCAAATCCATCACGATCGGTGTCACCTCGCGAACCAAGTGCTCAAAAACCTTTCCACGACGACGACTGGAACTTGGCCCGGCCTCCACATTCTCCGGAGCTAATAGACTGTCGAGATATTGCGCATCTTCCTCATCCAAATCAGCAAGAGTATCATCAGCCTCCGACTGTCCTAACCATACACCTTGGTCCGCACCAAAACCATCCAACGTTTGCTCTAATTGACGATATTCGTCAACCGCCAACTCTTCGCGAACGTAGTCTTCCGGGAAACGAGACATCGAATGGAACCTTGCAAAAACAACCAAGACACGAATCAGAGACTCGTCACGAACTAAACCGAACCGGCCGCGGTTTAGGCCCACCTCGCGAACGACGAAACTTCAACACCATTCCGCCACATTACAGTGATAATTCAACAAGGGAGCTCAACGGAGAATGTGGCACGACAAACTTGTCGCGAGGCCCCAAGGCAACTCCCGTTTCCCGCGGCAACGATGCGACAAAGCATGACGAGGACCATACGAAAAGAAGGCGCGGCACGGCACGGCTCGGCGGGGCAACTCCGGCGCGTCCCGCGGTGCGGCGCTTCATGGTTCGGTGCGACGCGGCGCGGTACTTCATGGTTTGGCGCGACGCGGCACTTTGAGGATTGGCACAACGTCTCGTGGTTCGGCGCGGCGTGAGATCGTCGGCTCGGCAACCCGTGGCATCAAGAGATACGTCAAGCGGCGGCACAACGGCAATCCGTGGCACCAAGAGATACGTCAAGCGGCGGCACAACGGCAACTCGCGGCACGGCAGCAGCCAACCCGCGGCACGGCAATCGACCCGCGGCACGGCAGCAGCCAACCCGCGGCGCGGCAATCGACCCGCGGCACGACAAGACCGGCGGCACAACAATCAGCCCGCGGCACGGCAACCCTGGTGGCACGTCGCCTTGACCCGCGGCACGTCGCCTTGACCCGCGGCACGTCGCCTTGACCCGCGGCACGTCGCCTTGACCCGCGGCACGCCCCTTGACCCGCGGCACGTCGCCTAGACCCGCGGCACGCCGATGAAACCCGCGGCACGTCCCCTTGACCCGCGGCACGTCGCCTAGACCCACGGCACACCAATGAAACCCGCGGCAAAACGTCTTCACGCGACACGTCGCCTAGACCCGCGGCACGCCAACGCACCAACGGACCCCAAAGACCAAAATCAAACAAAAGATTAGAGAGGGAGAAAGAATTTTACCTTGTTGAGAAGAAGAAGTGAAGAAAAGTGAAAGTGAGGGGAAAGAGGCATATTTATAAGGAGGAGACATTGCACATTTACCGAGGTAAAAACTATTGACCTAATTCTCTGGATACACAACCTAGCCCGTCTCGAAAAACGTGTCGAAGCCACGAATCTCCCGAGAAGTTTTCGGTTCGTCTCGGAAAACGGGCTGAAGTCACAGAATCACCCGGAGAAGTTTCGGTTCGCCTCGAAAAACGTGCTGAAGTTACTGTTCACCCGGAGAAATTTCGGTTCGCCTCGAAAAACGTGCCGAAGTCACAAAATCTCCCGGAGAAGTTTCGGTTCGCCTCGAAAAACAAGCAAAGGCTACAAGACGATTCATTCAAGTCAGACTCTGTTTTGCGCCCAACTAACATATTTCAACCTCAAAGACATGCCCGTCAAGCTCAAGCATACTCTCGCACAACGGACTAAGGGGGGGGCTTATTATTGGACATGGGCTTTGCCCCCTATATGTTAGGGGGCCCAAAACAGATGGCACAAGTTTATAAGAAAGCCTTGATCACTATGAAGAGCCCATTAAGCCCGGAAGGGCAAAACCGTCATTTACAGTGGAGACAGAAGGAATTTTAGGGTTCCTGTTCCCTATAAATAGTCAGAAGCATTATTGGGAACAGGATCCGATCCAGAGGTTATTAACCAGCAGACAAGAAGAATCGCTGCCTAGCCCGAAATCGCTGCCTAGCCCGACATCGTCGCCTAGCCCGAGTTTCGCCGCTTCGCTTGTTTTCGTATTCTGTCTCTCTGTTCCGTACGTTAAGTGTTCGGCTCGGCGGATAGTCTATAACCGCCGCGGCGAAAACTTACATTCTGTAATCTCTCGATCGCTTATATCGTTAATAAAAGGACTAGCTCCGTTCACCCCCAAAATCTCGTATATTATCATTGTTACAACCTAGGTACAAACAAGGGTTGTGTGATTGATCATATATTATCCCTACAATAAAATGTTGACGTGTTTGATTTTCATATATGAATCTTTTTTCTCTCTTAATAATCAATGTTGAATTAGTATGGTCAAGTCAATTTCATTATTCACATAATTAATTGTCTTTTCTTATAATAAATCGTATCGACTGTTTATTCAATTATTCAAACATAAAATGGAGTCTTTTCTTATAATAAATCATATTATAACGAGAAAACAGAGTCTCCAACCACCACAATTTTTACAATAGAAACCATATATGTATTATGACTCAATTAAGCATCCAAGTTTTAGAACAAAATATATGTTATTTGGGTAATATTCCCTCTATTTCATAATATAAAATGTTTTGGCTAAAAAGCACAGAGTTTAAATAACTAATTAATTTTTTTTAACATTAAAGCATAACTTAATATATAGCTAAACATACAATCATGATAAAATTTACTGCTTAATACAAATAGTCACAAAATTATAGTATATATATATATATTAAATTTTTAACAGAGAAACTTGATTTTTTTTTGTAAAACATCAAAAGTTGTGAAACAAATCAAAATGTTTAAAACATCATATATTATATTAATAAATATTAAAAAAGTATTTGACAAAAGAAAAGAACTATTATATGACAGCGTTTATAAAAAAACAGAACAGTTGATGAAGCCTTTTCCAATTTGGGACATTGCATATGTGAGCATCTTGTAAATATACATACACATATAAACTATATAAACCATACATATATATATATATATATATATATATTATTTTATCAACAACATGCTTAAGTATAAGTATATAATATATAACTATTTCACAGTTGAACGCATATGCATATACATATATTCAGGCCCGGCTTAGCACATGTGCTAGGAGTGCTAGGGCACAGGGTCCTAGGGTCCAATTTTTTTTTTTTTTTTTTATATTTTTTTCATACAAAAATCCCAACTTTTTTTACAAAATAACTAACTAAATAAAAAATTATACCTTAAAAATCCCAAATTTTGTTAAAAACAATATGAAAAGATCCAAATTTAAGAAAATAACATTTCTATAATTAAAAACCACAATTATTTGAAAACAAATTTGGTATTTTTTTAAAGAAATTTTTTGTCTAAGGACCCTTAATTTCTTTAGGACAGGTCTAGCACAGGGTCTCGTCAATAATTGAGCCGGCCCTGCATATATTGTTATCAACAACATGCATAATAATAAATATAGAATGTAATTGGGATTTTATATTCTGTAACCATTAACTCTCATCACGTGCTATATATATGTCTGGTGCTTGCAAATTGTCCACCATCGCCAGATCTCTCTATTTGTTTTCTCTTGATCTCTCTTTTTCCTTCTCTCTTTCTTTCTTATCTCACGAGTCACGAATATGGAAAGAGGAAGAAACCTTGATCAGAAAAGCTACTTCTTAATATTGCCACATTCTCAATGGAGTGATCACTTCTTTACTGTTTCTATCACTGACTCGGTGAGTCAATCTTATATATTGTTGACAAGAAAATAAGCAATGTATATATTTTTTCATATGATAGGCGCCTATTTGCATGGGTGGATGGATGGATCTATATGGTGATGAATAATATACCACTAGGCACTAGCTAGTATATATTTTTTACGTTTTGAAATTTCACTTCTTCTTTTTTTTTATTATTCGAATTATTTTTCAAGTTATCACGTTTTTATGTTTTTGAAAAATTATTACGCTATATGTTATTAGCGTATTAAAAATTATAACTGCGTAGACAACTTTTTAGAACTCTGGCTATAATATCAATATTTTTTATTTTTCTTCCTTTTAAAATGAAATTTAATTCACTTTTCAACTCATTTTCGTAATATTATTGTAGACTTATAGTTATGTATATTGATTATTGAAGTATTGGTTTATCTTTTCCGTAGATGAATTTGGGATATTAATTAACGGTAAGAATTTTATAATATTATTATAAATTTATATATTGTTTGTTCCCTAGCAAATTATAAATTTGTATTTGTCCATGTCCATTAGAACACCATTATTGGTGGTATCTTAGATGGTTCTTACCTTATTATCTTGAAATTAAACATTGGAAAATAAATCAAAACAGATTAAAATGCTAAGATTGGACTCTTAGCTAAGAACTTTTGGAAGTGTTAAGAGCTAAGATTTGACTCTTAATTTATAAAAACCAAAATTTTAATCTTAAACAATGTTAAGAGCTAAAGTTAAGAACTCACCGTTAATGATGGTCTTAGATGTCTATATAAGGATTTTGACCTTTATCTATCAACTTTCAGGATTTAGATGTCCTTGCAAGAGAAATTGAGGAATTCAAACCTAAAGTGAGAGAGAATATATTTAGTTTGTCTTCCGATGCAATAAAGAGGAAGATACTTTCGATCCATTTGCTGATCAACCTTGGTCTCTCTTATCATTTTGAGAACGAGATCGAAGAGACCTTAAAAGAGGCTTTTGAAAAGATAGAAAATTTGATCGCTGATGAAAATGATTTGTACACAATCTCAATCATGTTTCGAGTTTTCAGAACATATGGTCACAACATGTTGTCCGGTACGGATATTTTAAGCATGTCATTAGATTTTTGATATACATTTTAAAAAACAATTTTTTTTTTTTTTTTTTATGTAGATGTTTTCAACAGATTCAAAGGAAACAACGGCGAGTTCAAGGAAAGTTTAATAGAAAACGTTAAGGGTATGCTAAGCCTCTACGAAGCTGTGCACTTTGGGACAACGACGGATCATATGTTGGATGAAGCATCACGCTTCACATTAGACCACTTGGAGCCACTAACTACAGGTCACACAGCGATCCCACTACATATTTTAAAGCTTATACGCAAAGCTCTTCACATACCTCAGCACCGGAACAGCCAAGCTCTAGTTGCAAGAGCGTATATTTCTTTCTATGAACAAGAAGAGGACCACGATGAAACACTGCTCAAGCTAGCCAAGCTCAATTTCAAGTTTTTGCAGCTTCATT